GCTAAAAATAGCTCCTGGGCCTTAGAGCTAGGATTCTTTTCCTTCTATTCCTATTGTTCTTAGGTTTGGTCTTTTCATAGTGTCCCAGATTCTGGATGTTTTGTGTAAGAAACTTTGTAGGCTTAACATTTCCTTTGACCAATGTATCTATTTCTTTTACCGTGCTTCAGTGGCTGAGATTCTCTCTTCCATCTCTTGTATTCTGTTGGTGATGCTTGCGTCTGTAGTTCCTGTTCATTTACCTAGATTTCCATCTCAACAACTCCCACGGTTTGTGTGTTCTTTATTGCTTCTATTTCCATTTTCAGGTCTTGAATGGTTTTGTTTCCTTCAACAGTCTGCTTTTTCTTGACATTCTTTAAGGGGTTTATTGATTTCCTCCAATTTTTTGATTGTCTTTTCCTCGATTTCTGTAAGTGAGTTATTCCTCTTTACAGACCTCTGTCATCTTGGTGAAGTTGGTTTGAAGTCATTTTCTTGTGCTTTCAACTGTGTTGGAATACTCAGGGCTTGCTGGGCTCTGATGACATATTGTCCTGCCTGTTAACTGTGCCCTTGCACTGATGTTTAGGCATCTGGATTTGGACTGATTATAGGCCTAGGTGCCGCTTTCTGGATTTGTCTTTGTTGAGTGAGTGTTTTCTTCACTGGTTTCTGTTTCCTCTCTGGTCTTCTGGCTGCAACGTTCTGTGGTTGAGTTAAAGGGTCTCTGCCTGAGTTGGGGGCTGGATTTCTGATAGTCTGAATAGCTGTCTGGTCCAGCAGGGGGTTGCTGCCCAAATTTGGGGCTGGAATTCTGGATATATGTGTGGCCTCTGAGACCAGACGGTTAGAGGTTCAGGATTCTGGCCTGGCTTCTGCCTGGTTTTGAGGGAGCTGGTCCAGTCTCTGGTGGGGTAGGAGGCTACCCACAGAGGTGTGGGTAGGGATATGGTGACAGGAGAGACAGGGTTGCTTCTGTTGGGTAGGGATGAAGGGTGGTCTAACCTGGGATTCAGTATGCTGATTCGGCTTCTCCAAGAGCCTGTCTGTTTCCTTTTTTTATTTTCAAGACAGGATTTTCCTATGTAGTCCTGGCTTTCCTGGAACTTTTGTGTAGACCAGGCTGGCCTCAAACTCAGAGATCCTCCTGCCACTGCCTCCTGAGTACTGGGACCAGAGGTATGTGTCACCACTGCCCAACTGACCTATATGTCTCTAAGGTGGAGCCTGCTGGGTCTCCATGCTTGACAACTAAGGTACTCTGCTTGGGAGAAGGCATAGGACACTGGGCTGAGAGTCTCCTGGCAAGGGTGTGCCTCTACTAGGTGGCCCTGTGCTAAGCCCCGGGTAGCTGTGGTGTGGCCTGTCTTGGCAACTCTGCCTGTTCAGCTCTGGATTTACAGGTAGGGAGGCCATATTTAGCAAGTAAAACCTAAGATACTGCCTTGAATTTATTCAAGAATATTATTTGTGGTTTATCTCATTTAGCTCGGCAGTTGGGCAAGGCTTCTGAGTCTTGAACGCCTGGCTTCTGGGTGTTGTGACACCTACTGCAAGTCAGGTGTCCCATGGGCTGTAGCATCCCCATCAGTCAAAGGGCATGGGAAACAGAAAGCCGCTGCCCGGGCTCATGGACCAGTTTCCCAGCTTAACCATGCAGCACTCGGCAGTCCTCCCAGTCATAGCCACCAGGGGGCAGCGGCACCTAGAGTTTAAGGTGTTGGTAGGCCAAGCTCCACTCTGAAAGAAGGTTCCAGGCCAACTTGTTCTTCGACTAGGGCCGTCTAGGGCTGCTTTGCAGAGTCCCCCAACCCTCACCCCTACCTCAGGCTGTAGCACCTCCAGGGACAGACCAGCAGATCCTCTCCAGCCTGTTTGCTATCCCTTTGCCTGTCGCTTCAGGGGGTAGAGGCTGCGGCCGTGGCTTCCTAAGGGATCCCTGTGACCACACCACGTGGAGACAACGGGATCTGTTCATGCAGATCTGGCATACCTGTCCCCCAAACGCCTTGAGGTGGGACCCAGAAATGTGAGTGTCTCGGGGCAGCTGTCCCAGGTAAATGACTCTGAGTCAGAGGCAGAGCCCGCCTAGGTCCCCCTCTTTGCGTGGCCCGGTCCATACCCCACTCAGCCACTGCCATCCACAGCACCTGACCCTCTCCTCATAGCCACATCCCTGCAGAAGCCAGGGTGTTGTGGAGATGGGCCTGGCAAACCGCTGGCTACCCCTCAGCCCTGCTTCTGAGAGCTCCAGGGCGGGTCCTGTCTCTGGGCTGCTCAGCCCTTCAGCTCCCACGGAGGACAGTGGTCTTGTGATGCACCCAGTCCCCCCTCGGGGTCATGTCCACGCCCACTCTTCCAGATGTGGCCTCTGGCCACGCCTCCCTTTATCTACAATGACCCTCCACCCTACCTACGACCAGTCATGTCCACTCCTTTTTTTCACTCAGCAACCCCTTGAACTGTATCCCTCACCAGATGCCTGCTCAGTAATTTTTTAAAAAAGAAAGAAATACCCCTTTCCTCCCTGAGCTACTTTTGGTCGTGGTGTTTTCACAGCAACAGAATTCAAACTAGAACAGAAAGTGGGGTATTGCTATGGCAGACCTGACTACAGCGGTTGGGGGATGATTGTGAAAGTGTTTGGAACTTGGGACTGGAAAAGCCATTGGGCTCAATGGGAGTCCTGTGGGAGAGCAAACAGAAATAAGGGCTGGCTTGTGAGGTTCCAGAGGGAAGCAAAGACACACGCAAGCCCTCTGTGGGATGCTACTTTGTACTCAGCACCTACGGCTCTGGTGAGCAGAGATTGCAGAGCCAGCTATGACAAGAGACCACACACACACAAACTTCTGCTTTCCTGGGACAATGTTGCCGCTCAGCCTGGGCAGAAAAGTCAGCAGTGATTCAGAAGAGGCCAGCATTGCTGAGGTGAACTCCGCTGGGGAAGTGTTTGCTCAGGGTCAGGATGCAGAGGCTGGGTCCAGTGCAGGTCGGATTGCATCTCAGGATGGCAGCCAAACTTGGTTATGGTGTTTTCCAATCTGGACCGCATGAAGCTGCAGGGTCAAAGATGTTGTAGAGAGAAACTGAGGCTCGCCATGTGGCAGGGTTGGAGTCCCTGAAGAGAGGCCATTGGTAAAGGTCATTGCAGTGGCTATCCCAGCGCATTGGGGATATGCAGTGGACCATAGGGTAGCTGCAAGGACAGTGGCAGATGTAGGGTGAACCCAGCCCATGAGAAAAGCTGTCTGTGGGCTGTGGACCCAACACTGGAGCTGATTAAGCCCTTTAGAGACAGGAGATTGCGAGTTCCAAATGTTAGATATTGAGGTATTTACACTTTTGGACTTGGTGTTTTTGTTTTGTTTCTTTGTTTAAAAAGATTATTATGTATACAGTGTTCTGCCTGCATGTATGCCTCCAGGTCAGAAGAGGGCACCAGATCTCATTATAGATGGTTGTGAGCCACCAGGTGGTTGTTGGGAATTGAATTTAGGACCTCTGGAAGAGCAGCCAGTGCTCTTAACCTGAGCCATCTCTCCAGCCCTGCACTGGGACTTTGATTTGCTTGTGACTATTCTTCTCTCTTGAGTGAGAAAGTAACTTTTTTTTGACATATACAGGAACTGATAGTTAAGAGATTTGGGATTTATGCTGGGCAGTGTTGATGCACGCCTTTAATCCCAGCACTCTGTGAGTTCGAGGACAGCCTGGTCTACAGAGTGAGTTTCAGGACAGCCAGGGCTGTTACATAGAGAAAGAATGAGAGAGACACAGAGAGAGGGGGGGGGGAGAGGGAGGGAGGGAGAGAGAGAGATTTGGGATTTTTGGAGAGAACTTGGACGTTTAAAGTTTTTGAAAGCATTAAAGATGACTGGGACTTTTAAATGTTTGAATGTGTTTTATATTGTGGTATTGAGATAAGATCTTGGGGATAAAAAAGGAAAATTTATAGCTAGATAGTGATATATTTGTGTCAAGTTGATAAGGAGTCATTTCTGGTTTGGTGTTTTTCTCAGCTTGACATAGCCTGGAGTCATCTGGGTGGAGGGAGCCCTATTGGAGAAAATACCTCTCCTGGTAGGTCTGAGTCTGAGGCCAGCTTCATCTACATACTGAGCTCCAGGCCACCCGAGCATACAGTGGCACCCTGTCTTAAAACAAAACAAACAAAAAACCCAAGCATACAGTGGCACCCTGTCTTAAAACAAAACAAACAAAAAAAACCCACATCCCAAAATTATTCCAAACCAACCAAGCAAAAACGTGTGAGAAAATGCCCCCACTGGACTGGCATGTAGGCAAGTCTGTGGCGCACTAGCTTGACTAATGATTGACGTGTGCGGTGCCACCCCTTGGAATGGTGCCAGGCAAGCTGGGACGGTGGGATGGCACGGCAGTTAGGAGCACACACTACTCTCGCGGGAGTCCCAGCCCTCACTGCTTTTGCTGATGAACAGTGATGTGGAAGTGTGAGCGAGATAAACCCTGTCCTCCCCAAGCTGCGCTTGGCCATGGTGCTCCAGTCACAGCACTAGAAACCCCAGCTAAGACAGGGGGGACACAGAGGGAAGCCGCGGCTGGCTCTCAGTGACGTCTGGGCACGAGAGGCAAACATCCCCATGGCAGCGGCACCTTCGGGAACCAGGCACAGGGATGGTACCAGAAGAGGCTGAGAACCCAGGTCTGCCTCCTTGCAGGAGTGTCAATGTCCCTACCGCACCTGTTCTCTCGGATGTGGCTTCTCCGCTACCTTGATGATTAAATCACAGAGGGAGAGAGGGAGGCGGCACGTCAGTCAGCCCTGCCAAGAACAGTCATCCTTTATTTTCACAAGTCTTTCTTGGCATTACGCAGATACTGCAGAACAGAGCAGTGGTGACGGCAGGGGTATCCCAGGGGCTGCGTTCACCAGCAACAGCTGGACGCCAAGGACCAACCTTGCTAAAGATCGGAGACGGGCAGGATCACAGACAGGATGTTCACAGTTAAAGCAGGAAACTCACAGGCCTTGGTCTGTTTATTGATCACTTTAATATGCCAGACCAATCAATAGGGAGGACGGAGCACACAGAAACATCTGTATTCGCAGCACGGAGGGCCGATGTCCGTAGCCCTGGGCATGCATGCATCTCCTGTGGAATCAGGCAAATCAAAAATGCATAAATACCACGGCACAGTCAGACTTGGGGTGGCGGTGGGGGGGATCACAGGCCACAGGGGACCATGCTTCAAAGGCAGTGGCATTAAATAGAGGGCCTAAACGTTACAGTCCACTTCACCGTACACATAACTCATAGAGTAAAAGGAGACCACAGTATATACGTGCAAGCGGCTTTGGTCAGAGAAAATGAACAAGGGGCGGAGCCATGCACTGGAAAGGCTTGCCTGTCTAGTCTCGATCTTCATTTCCTACCCAGTCCACAAAGTCACCTGGGATCATAGATGCTGAAAAGTCCTGACTGGGTAGCCTTGATGACCTTGATGGTTCCTCTGTGGGTAAGGAGGAACCCCACTTGAACCCTTGGAAGAAACCGGCCTGGATTGGAGGGGAGGGACATTGACCAGGGGGAGGGGAAAGCCGCGTCAGCCAGGCCAGGCGGGTGTGATGCGCTGCCTGGACCCAGGTCCCAGGAGAGCAGGAGAGACCAGAGATCACGGAGGAATCCACATTTGCAAGCAAAGCTGAAGACGGCAGGGCAAGCCTGTGTTTCTTCACAACTGTCCCAAAGCCCATTCCCCTTAGAACTGGCTGGCGCTGCTGGGGTCACACTGCAGCAACCGGACAATGGATGGGTCACTCTTGGCACCTTTGATGAATTCTTCCAGGGACAGCTTGCCTGAAGGACAGAAGTGCGAGAAATAGCCAGTGTTAATAATAGGACCACTGGTCACAGACTGGAACAATATCCCCTTTCTGTTTACCTCCAGCACACTTACAACTCCTTTTTACATGTGAATGCACACATTTTTTACACATGTCACATTGAGGCACACATGCATTCAGGGGGGGCAACTTGCGGGAGCTGATTCTGCTTGCACCGTGTAAAAGCCTATCCTGGGTATGGAACTCAAGTCATTGGGTTTGGTAATGAACTCTGGGTCTGAAGTAAGCTGCCAGCCCTACTGGGAGGCCTAGAGAGCCATCATGTACTGGGGGCAGTTCCATTTCTGTTACTAAGTTAAAGTCTCCACTGCCCGGCTAAAATAAGTAATTAAAAAAAAGACACCTGAGGTGAGTCAAGTTGGCAGTTAAAGCTAACCTCCACAGCGCCTCCTGCTGCAGACTCTTGGCCAGCTCCAGGGGATGACAGCTGTATCCCCGCCCACCTTTGCTGTCCTGCCTGGACCCAGCTTCTCTGCAGCCCCACCTCCTCCCCTGAGCACTAGCAACTTGCCCCTGGCTTCCAGGGACGGTTTCTCTTTCCAGTGGCCTCGGTGGCAAAACAAATGTGATGTGTGTGATGTGTACAACGGGGACGTAGTTCACCACCCTCTGACATGGTGAGGCTCCTGGCCTTGACAACAGATAGCCACGGCGTTTTTTAGAGTGTGCCACCGGCATGGAGTTGCTCTAGCCTCCATACCATGCAAGCGGGTTTCTCCCCATTTCACGGAGAAGAAAGCCAAGGCTGGGAAAAGCTGGAATCAAAGCTTTGGAGTCATGGTACACACGAGGGCGAAGAATGCTTTTGAAGTCGGCCCAAAGGCAGCACCAGGCAAGAGTCTGCCTTGCTTTGTGTGTGAACATGTTTTGGAAAGCACTTCCTTGCTGTCTGGAAAGCTTTTTGCTGTCTACAGTTCCACGGGAACGTCGCGTCCCGCTGAGCCCCGTCCTCAACTCACCTGCACACAGCACTTGAGGCTGGGCGCCGCACTTTCTTGTGCATTAGCGTACATTTAATCTCAGCACAACCCAGGGAGCCTTTCTTCCCCTTAATGGTGCATTTCTTGGTGGAACAAAAGCCAATCAGTCTTGGCTCTTACAAAACCACAGACGGGCAGAATCAGCTCGCCGTGCGTGGCTACCTCACCCTTGCGGGGGTCCTACCAGAAACTCACAGTCAAGGCAAAGGAGGACACAGGGCACGTCCCCATGGGTCTCTCGCCTCCTCCTGAGACCTGCCGCTTTGCAGCCGTGGTGGGACCCCAGAGTCCTGGGTACTTATGGCCACAGACAGATGATGAGGCTTCCATGCCTGATGGCCACGAGCATCTGCGGTGCCTCGCATCTCAGGGTGACGGCAAGAGAAGCCTGGCCAGCTTCTCAGGATCCCATGACTCAAATGCCCTTCGATTCAGTCTCTCCCTTCTCACCTCTCAGGCCAGCAGTATGCTCGCTTCCCCTCCCTAAAAGTACTTGTGGAAATAGTAAAACCACTATCGCCGTTAGCAATGTGGGCTGGTTTGTTTTGTGTCAACCTGACACAAGCTATGGTTATCAGAGAGGAGGGAGCCTCAATTGAGAAAATGCCTTGATAAGTCTGTATGCAACTTTATAGGACATTTTCTTTTTTTGATTTTTCCAGATGGGGTTTTCTCTGTGTAACAGCCCTGGCTGTCCTGGAACTCACTTCATAGACCAGGCTAACCTCAAACTCAGATCTGCTTGCCTCTACTTTCCAAGTACTGGAATTTAAAGGCATGCGCCACCATGCCTGGCCAGTGGGTCATTTTCTTAATTAGAGATCAATGGGGGAGGGCCCAACCTATTGTGGGTGGAGCCATGCCTGGGCTGCTGGTCCTGGGTTCTATAAGATAGCAGGCTGAGCAAGCCATGGGGAGCAAGCCTGTGAGCAGCATCCTCCACGGCCTCCTCACCAGCTCCTGCCTCCTGGTCCCTGTCCTGAATCCTTTGATGATCTGTTATATGGAAGTGTAAGCCAAACATAGCCTTTTCTCTCCATGCTGCTTTCGGTCACGGAGTTTCATCCCAGCAGTAGTGACCCTAACCAAGACAACATGTATGAAGCCTACAGCTCAGAGGCGCCAGTGACATGCCCATGGTCACAAAGCCATAGGGAGGGCGTAGGATGCAGGGTCGGTGTCCCTGATCCTGAATTCCAGTCTTCAGCATAGCTGAATCAGGCGGGAGAGGAAGGAGGGGCACAGCGGGCTTAGGAAGGGGCGGGGCCAGCTTGGCAGGGCCAGGCTGCAGAGGGCACATCCCAAACACATCTGTGCCATCGGCAGTTTCAACAAACACCCAGTGCTTCTCCCTCTCCCCCATGTTCCTACCATCATTGTTTGTGTCCATCTGCCTGAAGATCTTGTCTGTCCGTTTCTCCGGCGTGGACTCGTCTTCAGGCATTTTCATCACGGAGGACACCATCTTGTAGATGGCCTGCAAAGTAGCATTCGTGAGTGTGCTCAGGGGGACAGCGGATGTGTGACGATTCTACCCCAGCCCACCAGGAAGCAGACAGGGCAGAGTGCTCCCCATCTGTGTCAGAGCCCCTCTCTGAGCAGAACCAATTTCACAGACGAGATGCTGGGCAAGGGGAGTGGGGGAAGTCAGGCGATATTTAAGAACACGGTCCACAGCTCTTCTGGGACTCGGCTGGGAGTGGGTGGGGACAGGGTCTGAGTGGTATAAAAAATTTTGGGGGGGCCTGGAAATGTTGAGGGGGGAGGTCAAGGGGCAGATACAGTAAGACCTGCCTACCCATGGGGTCCTGAATCTGCAGATGGGAAATATTCTAGAAAAAGGAATATTACTGGAGGTATAGACTTTTTCTTATTTCCAAATAACACAATGTATTACTAACATCTGTAGCTGCTGGGTCAAACATGGCACGCAACATCTATTTATTTGTTTATTCCTTTATTTATTCAGCATGGGGGGGCGGGGCGGATCTTGTGTGGTGGTCAGAGGGCAACTTGTGGGAGGTGGTTCTCTTCTCCTGCTATGTGGGCTGTAGGAATTGAACTCAGGCCGTCAGGCTTGGCAGCAAGCAACTATCCCCACAGAGCCAAACATAGAGATGATTAAAACATGAGGGGGAGGATGCAGGGGACACATGAGCATTGTTCCCATGCAGGACTGCCCACTGTCTCAGCCATTACTGTTCCCAGCATCCAGGCATCTGTGCTGGCTGGCCTGTTCTTGGGGTTCCTTTTTAAAAGGGCCCCGCCCACCTCCCATCCTTCTTCCTTTCTCTCCCTCTCTCTGTCTGTTCCCCTCTCTCTCCCCTTCTCCGGTTGCTCCTGTCTCCGGAGGCTGGTCTCCCTGCTTCCTTTTCCCCTTTTGTGACCCCTTTCCCTAATAAAAGACCCCTCTGCTTGAACCTTGTCACATGGCGTCTTTCTCTAGCACGCCGCTTTTCTTTGTTTTTTAGGACAGGGTTTTTCTGTGGCTTTTGAGGCTGTCCTGAAACTAGCTCTTGTAGACCAGGCTGGCCTTGAACTCACAGAGATCCGCCTGCCTCTGCCTCCCGAGTGCTGGGATTAAAGGCGTGCGCCACCACCGCCCCGCTGCATGTCACTTTTCTTAGATTACAACAACTACGTCATTCTGATTTCTACAGGAGGCCCCGACCCACAGAGACAGCTAAGCCGTGTGTCAGCTACACACGTGTTTGTACATATGTGTGCAACAACACCCCTGTATATGTGAATGTATATGTGTATGTATATCCATATGTGTATGCACATGTGTGTGCAACAACACCCATGCATACACCAGAGGGGAACACTGGTGCTCACCTCATTCCCTTCTCCCTTCTGTCTTCAAATGATCCTGGAGCTTGCCATTTTTGTTAGGCTGCCTGGTCAGCTAACTTCTGGGACAGGACTTGCCCACCTGTCCCCTAGTTCTAGGGTTACAGACGTGCTCACCCACTCCTGACATTTACACAGGTGCTGGGATCTGAACTTGGGGCCCACGCTTGGACATCAAGCACTCTTACCTACTGGTTCATTTCCCCAGTTCTTACTCTGAAAATTCTTAAGCAATCAGTAACTGAGACTCGGATCTCATTAAAAGCAGAAAATGACCTGTTTTTATGGGATGGGGGCGGGTGGTAAACCTGATAGATGAGCTTAGCCAGGGCCTGATTGATGAATGCTTGGCTTTTATCTTATTCTCTGCAAGGACCTGCAGTCCTTCAGTGCACGTGGTAGCGAGCGGGTTGAGGAGTGAGCCGGTGTCATGGTGATCATGGTACAGGGCTGGGCATGGGGGTTGCTGGCTCCCTGTGGTGTAGCCGCCCCTGCCGAGCGCCAGTACCTGCACTATCTCTAGCATCTCGCTGCGGCTGATGTAGCCGTTGCCATCCAGGTCGTACATGCTGAAGGCCCATTTGAGCTTCTGTTCCAGCTTGCCCCGAGAGGTCACGCTCAGTGCGATGATGAACTCCCGGAAGTCGATGGTGCCATCACTGTTGGTGTCGAAGGTGCGGAAGACGTGCTCGGCGAACTTGGAGGCATCGCCATAGGGGAAGAAGTTGGCGTAGATCTTCTTGAACTCGTCCACTGTCAGGTGGCCGGTGGGGCAGTCCTTGAGGAAGCCCTTGTACCACTCCTGCAGCTCGTGGTCGGTGAACTCCGTGTGCTCCCGCAGGTCCTGCAGAGCCTCGGGCCTCAGCTTGCTGTTCTGCTTGCCCATGGTAGCTGGCAACGGAGACTAAGCCTGTAAGACACAAGGTCAGCTGTGGACGTCCCAGACCCAAGGGCCTGATTCCCCATCACATCCCATCACCAAGCTGGCTAAGCAACGCCGCCTGTGTATCCAGTGCCATGGGCTGGAGGAGCTCAAGACCACGGCTGTGCAAACCCTGACTTATGGCATGTCTTGGATACCTCTGGTCTGAATGGTTTTACACAGCATGGGGAATGCCAGGACACTCAAAGAAGACAGAAAGAACATCCTATGGAGTAAGACAAACCCTTCAGCTGTCAGCTTGGGGCAAAGGGGCCACACGAACCCAACTCAGGCCTTTGCTCTGAACAGGTACTTTTTTTTCGTGTGTGTGTGTGTGTGTGTGTGTGTGTGTGTGTGTGTGTGTGTGTGTATACTTGCATGTGTGCGCGCACGCACACACACATACACTGTGTGTTTCCTATCATAGATACGCTTGCTGATGCCACATAAGTAAATGGTACTTGGGTAGGGATGGTGGTGGCATGTTCACATCTACAGACCTACAGTTGTCTTGAATGGACTCTAGCCTTTGGAAATTTTACTTCATTTATCAACATGCCTAATTTTATAAACAATGATGGCCATCAAGCCCATTCCTACCCAGACTTCTTGGTAAATCTGGGTAGAGTAGGATGTCATGGGCACTTGATATTCTTAATAAGGTTTTTGAAGCATTTTGGCAGGATGGAGGCTTTAGGTCCTCCCAGACTCCCAATGTCCCTTGCACACAATTGACTAGGAAAGGCCACCCGCTAATATCATGCTGCTTTTATCCCTGGAGAGAGACACCTGGAAAACTGTAGGGAGTCCCCACTCTTAATTATCCCTCTGAGAGGCTGCTGGGGCCAGGAGGATCCAGAGTTAGCATCGATCGGTGAACGTTGATCTGAGGGCTAACAGCTAAAACAGGCCTCTGTGGAAATCCAGGATGTGTTCCACCAGAGAGCACATCCCACTCAGTCTCCCGGGAGGTCCATGTGTGAGATCCTGGGGTAATTTGCCATTGGACATTAATACTGTTCTCACTCCAATACCTCAGTAACACATGCGCATAGCTCAGTCAGTTTTGAGGCATAGAGAAGAATGAGGGTGGGTAGGTGTCCTCTTACCCAAGTCCCAGAGGAAACCACTCTAAACTGCTTCAAGGCTTAAGAATTCCAAACAACCAGGACAGCCTCCAAAAGCCACAGAGAAACCCTGTCTCGAAAACAACAACAAAAAACAAAAAACAAACAAACCTAAACTAATTCTTTGCCAGGCGTTGGTGGCGCACGCCTTTAATCCCAGCACCTCTTGAGGCAGAGGTAGGTGGATCCCTGTGAGTTCAAGACCAGCCTGGTCTACAGAGTGAGTTCCAGGGCAGCCTCCAAAAGCAATACAGAGAAACCCTGTCTTAAAAAAAAAAACTCCAAACAACAGGTTGTTAGATCTCTAAATACTCTAGATAAGTGTTTTATTTATGTATATGACTATGATACCTTTAAAGTCCCTCATCCAACACAGACATATGGCACCTTGATAGTGCCTTTGAAAACACACACAGACTTAGCTAAACATTTCCCACCTATACAAATAACAGGTGCCCCTAACAACAAGCAACTCAAATATCTGTAGTGTTCTGATAAGAAGTAATCGGCAACTGAGCCGTCCCGGTGGCACACACCTGTAATTCCAGAACTGGAGGATAGTGGATAGAGTAGGAGGATCAGGAGTTCAAGGTCAGCCTAGGCTCCTTGAGACCCTGTCTCAAAGAAAAGGTGGGGGGGAGGGAGGGGGGGAGAGGGAAAACAACCAAGTCAGATGTGTCCGTGTGTGGAGGCCTCCTCTGGAAGAACTTACTAGAAATGGGAATGTTGGCTGAAAAGGAGAGATGGTGGATGGACAGGCACCTTGCAGGGCTTTCTGTTGTGTTCTCCTTTGTAATTTTACTTGTTTGTTACTGATGTTTTCCGATGTAGGCTCTCATGTAGCCCAGGCTGGCCTCAAGCTCACGATGTAGATGAGGATGGCCCTTACACTCCTCACCCTCCTGCCTCCATTCTCCAGCGGCCACAGATGTGAGCCGCAGTGCCTGGCTGTATCTGCAGTTTTAAGATGCTGAAGTGTGTGGCCGGGCGTTGGTGGTGCACGCCTTTAATCCCAGCACTCGGGAGGCAGAGGCAGGCGGATCTCTGTGAGTTCGAGACCAGCCTGGACTACCAAGCGAGTTCCAGAACAGCCTCCAAAGCCACAGAGAAACCCTGTCTCGAAAAAACCAAAAAAATAAAAATAAAAAAAGATGCTGAACTTCGTCCACATTTTCTTTTCCTCTTTTTTTCTTTAATGTTTTAAGAATATTTATTTGACATGTATGAAAGTTGTACTTGTATAACACATGGTGTGTGTGCCTGGTACCTGTGGGGTCCAGAATAGGAGGTTGGGGTCCCTGGAACTGGAGTTACAGCAGCCGTGAGCCACCATGTGGGTGTTGGAAACTGAACTGGGGTCCTCTGCAAGAGCCATGTCTCCAGCCTGGCCCCTTGGTTTATATTGTCTACTCAAACACACAAACCACAGGAGCCCGGCCTTTCTTCCTTGATTGGGTAGCAAGTCTCTGAGAGCCTCCAAACTGATGGGACAGGACAATCGAGGCTCAGCCCCATCTGGAAGGGGCTCCAGAATGAGGGAGGACAGGGAACAAGAGGTGGAAACAGTCTGTGAGTTCGAGGCCAGCCTGGTCTACAAGAGCTAGTTCCAGGACAGCCTCCAAAGCCACAGAGAAACCCTGTCCCGAAAAACCAAAAACAAAAAAAAAGAGGTGGAAACAGAGCACCGAGGTGGTGGTGCACACCTTTAATCCCAGCACTAGGGAGACAGAGGCAGGCTGACCTCTGTGAGTTCGAGGCCAGCCTGGTCTACAGAGCTAGTTCCAGGCCAGGGCTACACAGAAACCTTGTCTCGAAAAACCACACACACACAAAAAAAAGCAGAAATAGGGTGCTGGAGGACTCACACAAAGAGGCCCAGACCCCTGGAGTCTCTCCCTGTGCTGGCGGACTGCCAGAGCCTTCTACGCTCAGCCCCCATCTCACAGATATCACGGGTCACAGCCCCCTCTTTCTGCTTCACCTGCAGGTTCAGCTTAAACCATGCGTCAGCTGATGGCCTGTGCTGGCTGGACGTGTGTCCAGAAGCTACATCCAGCTCTGAAGAGGGGCCCGTGAGGCTGCCTTCTCCAGCTGCAGAGACCCTACACTATGAGGACAATGTGACTGCTGGTCGCTAAGGGATACAGCAGGCCTGGGAGGAGCACACAGGTGAGGGGCCAGTTGCTGTCCAGGGGCCACTGATTCACGTTATGACTTGGGATAAGAGCACGGTGGGATTCTTTGGGAAGAGACAGCAATGCCCTAGTTTTACCGCAGGTGACTCATTCTGGAAACTCAATCAGCAAGACATCCATAAAACTGAAGCCACACTGGAACAAGGTGAGTGAGGTTGGGGTCTTAGGAGGTGAGGGGCCAGGAAGCAGGGTTGGACTGAACTGGGGGGCGGGGCTCCTGCTCAAATACTAACGCTGGGGACAGAAGGTCCTAGGCCTGCAGGGCCCTTGGCACCTAGTGGTTCTCATAGGGAGACTTGCAACAATGTGTCTCTGGACTGGGACCCACTTAGAACCTTCACAAATCAGATACACCCTGCCCACAGGAAACTGACTCCCAGAGAGCTGCAGAACTTCTCCTAAGTGCACCAGGTTCCCTGGCTATGGGATTGTGTAGGTAGGACGGTCCCAGAGTGGCCAACGAGTTACAGCTGCACTGCTGCCACAGCCTGCCCTGTGCCTGTGCCGATGGGCCACCAGGCACCCCACAGCCCCCTGGTTTCCAGCTCACACACTCAGCATCCGCTCATCTCGCTGAACACACATCGCTGCTGTGTCTGTCATTTATCATCCTACGGATGCTACCAAAATGCCAAACTCCTTGCACCGCTCTGCGGATGTCTGCGGAGAGGAAACTGCAGTGCAGAGCGCCTTGGCATTCGCTGCAGGACACGCTTGATTTCCTGGCTCCTTCCCAAGGATTCCAGAGACGTGGTTCCGACTCTCTGCCCGCCCTTCACCTTCTCCCTGGTGTCAAACTGCTTGACGGAATGGTGCTTTGTGTTGGTTTAGGATACTCTTGCTGTTGTGGCTGTGGTACACACACACACCCTTGCTCTCAGGTTTTGCTAATTTGGGGGCAGGAAGGTCTTTGACAAAGCTTGCAATCCCGGTAGAGCCCAAGTGACCACCCCCACCCCTTGGATGCAAAGACCAAGACTCAAACATCAAAGGGAGGAGTGAGACCACTCAGGAGCCCTCAAACCACGTGTCAGGGTTATCCCCGGGCTCCGAGGGTCCACGGGATGTAGAAAACAGAAGAGGGGTGGCCCTGGGCCTCGGGACCTAGCTCTGAGAAAAGCAAGAGCTTTGCGTTCTGCTATATCCAAACTCCTTCAAAGAAAGGGTGGTGCCAACGGAAACAAGTGTAGCCATCTTAAGAACCTAGGACCATTGGCATAAACAGTGTGCATAAGGAGAAAGAGTGGGTAGGACCGACTCTTTTCTGAAACTTCTGTAAAGAGGGCACTAGATGAAGCCCCCGTCCTGGAGAGATGCCCAGCAGCCAGCCTGAGCCACAGGGACCCTCAGCTCAGTGCGGTTAGTGACCCCTTCTATCTCCAAAGGGGAGGAGGATTCTGTACACGGACTTAGGACGGAGGAACAACCTTCATAGAGCAGGATAGCCGAAGCACCCGGAGAGGGTAAGAAAGCCGGCAGCAGGGTGCCCCGCCCCACCCCGCCCCGCCCAGGCTCCTTGGGCTGCTGGGCTAGATCATCAGCTGGGGAGGGGTAACTCTCCAGAGAAACCCATACTCCACTCCAGCAGGTGGGCAGGGCCTTAAGGCAGCATTTTGCAGCCTCTTGTAGTATAGAATCTGGAGTCGCATTGGGTTGTAGTCCCTAC